TAATGTTCTCTTGTAAGTAAAGGAACTGACTTAGAGAATGAAGGTTTCGTTTCAACTGACGGTTTCTTATATTAACGACAGGTTTCTTGGGCAGTGACTTAAGGGAGACTGAAAATACATCTAAAATGATATTTGTTACACGCCTCTAATTTTGAATACAAAATGGACAAATCAATGGAAATGCAGAAAAGGGGGCATCTATAGATTACGTGGTTTGAAAACTTTTAAACAATAATCTACTGTATAACAAACCGTAAACAATTATTTGTTGATTAACATGTCGACAAATAATAGCAATAATAGTTTCGTTTTGAATTTATATACTGATTATAAGCATTTTTTACTACGAATTACAGTTTTCCAGTAAGGCAGAATATTTTTAAACAGTTACGACGTTTTGATCGCTGATGCGATAATTGTCAAATACACAGGTTTTAACGGTAAAAAAAGGGTTTTTGTATTGAAACCAATATTCAACAATCCAACAATGTATTTAAATGAAAGAATCGATAGTGGTTACTTATGCATGTGCATATCAATTCGCGTGAATTGTCAGATTATCTATCTATAGATTAAAAGAAAAAACAAACAAACAAAATGTGGAATATTTTGTGCGAAAAATTTGCATAATGTTAGGAATGTCTGGTTAGAGAGATGCTTGCGTATTTGTTAATTGTGGGATTGTTTGATTTTATTAATAAGGCTTCTCTGATATTTCTTGTGTTAATATCAGGTTCAAGTGACATTCTGTTCAGAGAAACTTTGATTGTTACCTCCGCCACTCGAGGTTATGTTTACACCCCTATGTGTGTGGGGGTTTATCAGCAAGATTTCTCGAAAACGGCTAAATAGATTTGGACGAAAGCTGGTGTACATTTTGAATACGACCCAATTAGAAGTGATCAATTTTTAAGTGTCAAAATCAAAGACCAAGGTCACGAGAATATAAAAATCCCTATCTACTAACATAGAGACCAATTTTTCACACTATTTGCCTTCTATAACTCAGTCAAAAATGATCTGATTTTGAAGAAACTTTGTGGACGCATGTAGAATATTATTCATCATTGTTCTGCCAAAAATGGTTTGTGTCCGTTGATAAAGACGGACGTACGGACACATTTGCCTTTTTTTTTTTTTGAGAGTCGAATATGCGTGATGGAGGTATGTGCTCTACTGAGTGCTCCTATAGTTTTGTTCATATGTTTATGTACTTTGGAAGGAGTTTTGGTGTTATTTTAATTTGTTTTTCAAGTTACCTATGTAAAAAATTAGGCAATCGTTACAATTTATTTTGTCAATGTTTCCTGGAGTTTATTATATAACTTTCTTAACATGTGCTTAATTTTTATTTTATGTTGGACGAGCTGTGTTATTGGTGTACATATTTTTTCTTAAGAGTGACTTGATTTTCAAGATATCTCTAACTACAGAACTTCATTAAAAACAACAGTGATATCGTGTATCGACACAACCAGTGATTCTGTCAAAGATATCACAAAACAATCCTCTGTATGGTTTTGAACTAACTCGGTCTATATAGTTTTAGTACACGCGTTGTCACACTAGTAGGCATCAACTTTATTTGTCTCGACAAACTAGACCGGCAGATAAAACTAAACTCTTAACCCAAGAGGCGGTTCAAAGGATTTGAAAGAAATATTTATTTATGAAACGTCTCTAAAGCTCTTCAATCGGTTTTAGTTGTTTTATATCCGATATTCAGGTATACCTCCTCCGCGCTATCCGTCCTCAATTATAGAGTAGAAGGAAGGCGGCTAGTCAAAAGTATTCGTCACCGACTATTTTAATCGATTAAGGGAATTTGGCTTTTTAATGCACCACTATCCATTGTATGATATGTTAACCAATAGCTCACAGCCGCTCACTCTTACCAATAGGACAATTGGAATTTGTTATATCTATGACAAGTCAAAACCACAGTTATAAAGTAGTGTAACTCATGACCTCAGTTAATTGTTGGGCAAATCAAGCATCTAGTAACGTGATCTGGGATACAGTCAAAATGTTTGTATATTTTGTAATAAATAAGATCGTTATTAGTTAGATAGAATACAAATAAACTTAGCACTGTCAAACTGAGAAATGTATGTTATATCAAACATGTACATATGTAATTTGTATAATGAGACAGGTTCTATGAACATTATGAACGATTTATTAGAACAGCAAACAATTTTATTAGACACCCATAGAAAGATGTGTAGTTCAGCATCTCACCTATTATAACAAAACATTCCCAAAACATATATAATGATAAAATATAACATCAAATTATTATAAGTAGCCTTTGTGACCTTATATTAGTTCATATTAAACATTCAGTACTTGGTTGGTCCTCCTTGTACTCTAATAACCTCCACAAGGCGATGTGGCATGCTGTCTATAAGGTTATTGATGTAATCCACCGTGATTTCATCCCAACTTGTCACTAGAAGGCGCTGCAACTCAGCTACAGTAGCTGTTATAGCACTTTTCCGGCTCAGTTCTGCACAACAGTTCTCAATGGAATTACAATCTGGAAACTCTGGCCATGGCAATTTTTAACGTACTCCTGGTCGAGATAATCCTGAACAATATGCGCATTGTTTGCAGTATGCCATCCTGGAATACAAAGTTATTGCCAGATCTTGCCCTAGCATATGGCAGGAATACTGTCTCCATGTGATGCCTGTAGGAGGCGCCATTGACGTTTCCCTGGAGGATATTAAGAGTAGTTTTTCCACCATGATGAATAATTACCTTAACATGTATTGTGCCACCTACTGTGTGTTCTCCGTGGTAAAGACAGTCTTCCCTCATTTGTTTTTCAAGCAACGCGAACGTTACCATCAGCTCTAACAAGCCGGAAACAGGACTTATCTGAAAAGATGACATGTCGCCAGTGTCCTAGATGTAAGTTGTCATGCTGTCTTGCCCAAGTAACATGATGACGGCGGTGAATTCTGGTTAATATTGGGTTGCAGATAGCTCTTCTTGCAAAACCACCGTGTTTGGTCAGTCTCCTATTCACTCTTCTGGATACCATGGAATGAATGTGTTCATACCATTACTATCGTAAGGTGTTGCAAGAGTTTTTTCGAATTTGACGTGTTAATCTGATCCAAACAGGGTCATCTCAGGCAGTAGTTTTTCGTCGTTTACAAGTAGACTTTGTTAGAAGAACAATTCCTGTAGTCCGATGACGTTTCAGGTTCCTGGATATAGTACAGTGGGGGCCCCCTACTGTTCTGGCAATGTCCGATTGCTTCATACAATTTCTAGATAGTCGAACAATTTGACGCTCTGTAACTTCTGGCACATGACGAAGTATGACTCTACACCAACTACACAAACGTTGATCAGTTTCGAAGAATATTATACCAAAAGCACACCCTTTTATACAAAACAGGTTTGTATGTTTGTTTTGACGGATAAATGCTCAAAACAATTTATATAGACCAGAATAACAACTTACATGTTTATTAGATCATACGCTTCCTTCTTTGTTACTACTCGGGTATTTACTCAATAACTACTCCACGCATGTAGACAATAACATCAATATAGAACAGCATGGTCATTTTGGTCAAGACTGTACCAATGATGAGTGAGCCAGTATACACAGTCTCGTTTCATTTGTCACTTGAAGTGAATTCCAGAGTTTGAAGTGCTCCAAAGTGTTCAGGAAACATTGATAGATCTCACAGAAGACCTTCGTATGTTTTATACACGTTTTACGACATAGGATCTGGCCAATCATTTAAGGATGTTGATACTGTTACTGTGAAACTGCTTAAAAATCAGCGACACAAAGAAGACCATAGTCCATAGTGCAAGGCTGTCTGTCAGTGTTGAGTATCTGCTCTGAGAGCGAATTAAGAAGCTGGATCACCGACCACATGTGTTGAAACAAATTTTACAAGGCCATCCTGTTTTATATGTGATTAGAAACAGACCTTACGAGGCCATCATGTTTTATATGTGATTAGAAATAGACTTTACAAGGCCATCCTGTTTGATATGTGATTAGAAACAGACTTTACAATGCCATCCTGTTTTATATGTGATTAGAAACAGACCTTCGAGGCCATCATGTTTTATATGTGATTAGAAATAGACTTTACAAGGCCATCCTGTTTGATATGTGATTAGAAACAGACTTTGCACGGGCTTACGATACGGTGGTTGATTAGGAACAGGCTTCACAAAGATCAGCCTGTGTGGTAGATGACTAGAAACAAGCTTCACAAAGATCAGCCTGTGTAAAAGATGGCTGGAAACAGGCTTCACAAAGTCAGCCGTATAGTAGGCGATTATAAACAGACTTTTCAAGACCTGCTTTGTGTGATAGATGATTAGAAACAGATTTCATAAGACCAGCCGGTGTGATAGGAAACTATAAACAGGCTTCACAAAGATCAGATAAATCATTTAGTACAAGATATGACACAGCACATTTGATTTAATTTTATATTACTAATTTGACGAAAAATTTAGAGTTCCATGCTTCTAATGTTTATACTTTATAATAATGGTTTAATTTCGGCTTAAAATGTTGTGCAGGAGTGAGGGACACCGAATGGTCTACTCCCATTCTACAATCAGGTACTGATGATGATATAAGCTTGTCGAAACGTTGTACATTTATAATAAAGTTTTCTTCATTAACAGATCAAGCTGTCCCCAAATTTTTATAAGAAGTAAGATTATTTGTGAGGTACAGAAGTGACATATATTTATTTGTCAAAATTAAAATAATCTTTTTAATTTTAATTTACATAAAATTTGACACAACGCGTGATTAATTTGTATTAAGAATAGTCTGACAGTTTTATATTCTTACGATAAGTACAACTGCTGGCATTTCTTTCATGTAAAAAATATACTTAGATCTTACACGAAAATGTTCCCATACATTTTTTTTACAGTGTATAATTAAAATTTATTTTCTTCCTCTCCGAAATATATTTTACCCTTTATCAAAATGAACAAAAATATTTCTAACTGTAAATTTATTAGTTTATTTATGAAAATCTTAAAAAAGAACAAAATATTTCAAATGTTTGGTCACTCAAATCATTAAGTACAATTTTCCTTTATATAAATATGCACAGTGAGAGAAGTACGTGTTCTTTCCTGGTTGTTCATTGTTGTCCTTCACACTTACAAGTGACGGTTGTCTGTAAAAACACAGTAAATTACATAAAGATTAAATTGTTGTATAAAAGATATTCTAAAGCTTTATTGTTCTAATATAGATTTAGAATAACAAGAATGGAATACGAATGAGCAAGTTAGCGGCAGGACTTAACTTTTCTTAGCAATATCTGTCAGGAAATGTTTATTTTATTATATTTTAAAACATCACTTATAAATACCAAAATTCGAGCAGAAAATAAAACTTCGCTGGTTTTTTTTAACTACAACTGTTCTTTATAAGAAATAAAATACTTGAACAGTTCCAGGATTTCATAATGATCAATCTAAAGCAATCTAAAACCATGAATATAATCCAAATGCTGCTCTTAACACCTGTTTTCTAATATTTATATTTATAATAACCCAAATCGTTATTAAATACAAAACAAAAGTAGGTTTCAGAATACTCAATAGTGCTTTGTTAAATGAGCTTATGTTAAAATTTAAAAACAAAAGTACCCGTCCCCAGAGACGAGAAACGTTTAAATTAATCTAGCCAAAGTACCTGTCCCTAGTGACGAGAAATGTTTAAGATAATCTATCAATTTAAATTATTTCATGCACTTTAAAAAAAGTAATTGTATTGCACTCTTGGTTTCACTCAGAGTCAAAGCTCTGAGCTACTTTTACTGCAAATAATAATTGTTGAGCATTTCAGTCATGGTAAGAGCCGCTCAACAATAACATACGGTAAATCTACATTTTTATTATTTAAGTTACGTCACATTTTGAAATGTGAACGATAGTATGATCAGTTCCTAACAATTTAATGTAGAATATCCTTATTACGAAATAAAATTTTGCGTCAACCTTATTTATGCTTGTTCTCCGTTATTTCAAATGTGAATGTTGAGCTTTGTCTGCGTGCGCAGCTTTTTAAACGTAGCTTGAGAAGCGGCCGCCGTAAACGGGAGACAGACGAATGCTCGGACAGACGCCACGGTTCTCAGTATATATTAGATACAACAACAATTTCAGTTTATATGTAATAATATTTCATTCATTTTATAATATGTGAAACTTACCTCAACGTCCATAATGTTTACGATAACCACCGCCAAATCCTCCACCAAATCCGCCACCAAATCCACCGCCAAATCCACCGCCAAATCCACCTCCAAATCCACCGCCAAACCCTCCACCGAAACCGCCGCCAAATTTACGAAAACGTCCGAATCTACGTCGTCTAAATCCACCATACGGATAAGCATCGGTAAGGTTCAACACCAGGACAAGAGTGATTATAGTAAGAACCAACAGCTTACTGTTCATGGTGGCTACACAAACCAATTGGAACGTAGATAAACACATGAGTGTTATTAATCTTTAATAGTGAATGTTTCTCATGTATTTTCTGTTGTGTGATTTTAGAATTCCTACATTTTTAACGTTGTAATAAAACTGGGAACTCTTCACTAATCATTCTTGATTGTTACAAGTCTCAATAATAAACAACATATTAGATCTTTTTTGAAAAAAAAGTATAAAAAGTTGCTAGATCTTATCTAGAAAACTATACAAAAGAACTTTAAAGAGCTATAAAAGTTATAAACTATAAAAGAAGTTGTAAGATCTTACACATAAAACATTACAAAGGGTTATAAGAACTTACACATAAAACACTATAAAGGGTCGTAAGATCTTAAAAAACTAGAATAGGTTGAAATATCTTACATTTAAAACACTATTAAAGTTCTTATTTGGAAAACTACAAAAGCTGTAATATCTCTAAATATATCTTAATGATGTAGCTTACAAATATAAACTTCAGTACATCACGTTACGTATCCTTACAAATATAATTTTTAATACACGTGTTACAGATCTTACTAATGTAGTTTAATTAAAAATATAAGTTTTAATACATCTCGCTACAGATATCAACTTCAGTACATCATGTTACAGATATTAATTATTTAAATATTAGTATGACAGCACTAAGTTGAAATTCAATTTCTGAATATTTTGGAAAACTTCGAATCTTGAGTTGACTTAGAAGAAGTTGACATAATCAATTATCTGATAAAATCACTGCTATCGTAACCTATTATATTGTAACCTATATGTTCTTACCCGTTTGTTTCTAAATGAAATTAAATTTTGAGTTTACCCCACTAAATATTAATACATCCTACAACAACTGATAGGCAAAATTTTACCCAATATGTTATGTTATTGACCCCTTATTCAATAGATGATATAATTATATAAAGGCAGGCGTATGCTAAAGACTCGCACATAGGCTGGACATTGTGGCTACGACAATAGAAAAACAGTTTTTCTTTACCTGTTTAAAGTAGACTTTACTATAATGTCTGTTGTTATCCTCTAACTCTAACGGAATGTACGCCGAGGGTTACGTCTTAGCACCCTTTATATCTGAAACACGCCTATATCACTATCATATGTATAACTAGGTGTATGGCTATGTGGGGGAGAGGGAGGAAACTATACAGTGGTCGACAGCCTGAAAGGCACGTAATCACTTAAACCTTGTTTTTATTTATACTACAAGGTAAACCTGAAGGCATACTTTCATCATTGAGCAGACTTTGGTGGGTGAAACTAAACTTGTATTATCACGAGTTTTATGACTTACAAACAAAGGTGTTCAAGAGGGGAAATTACCAACATTCTCCTTTCTAAGAAGGAAGAACCGTAGCGTGCGAGGACGTGACACGGAGCCTTATTTTATATCGACTTGTTTGTCGAAGTATTTTCTTATTGATAAAGACTTGTTAGCTTATTTGTCTTGTAAAGTTAGCCTATCTTTTTTATAAACGATGATCAAGGACAAGCTAGAAAATGGACAGATTTTTTTTCAAAAAGACGATGTTTTATCTTTTATGAAAATGGTTAAGTAGCAGTGATGTAACCCTTAAATTCTATTTCCTCTGTTTGTTTACTCCAAGGAGTTGGCTAACAAATCTGACCTTCACTTTGATACTTAAGGAAATGTTTATCCTGTGGCCTTCAGTATATAACTTGGTATAAAAATTAAATACATTTATAAGACGGACTAGCTTATAAACTAATACAGAGGCTACTTGAAAACCTTAAAAAGTTAAGAAGGCTTGTCATCTGCGACGTAAATGTCACTTTAAAATATAAAAAATAATTAAAGAGTCCATCGAGTTCAGTAGCACTTTTAAAAAAATAATTAGAGTATATTATAGCCAGAAACATGAGTGTCATTTTAAACGTTACGTGAAGAGTTAGAATTACCTACTATTGTCACTTTATAAAACGATGTCAAATAATAAAAAAAGTCTCCCGGAAATGTGTGCCACTTCAGACAGCCCACCAGTGGCACAGCGGGATGTCTGCGGAGTTCCAACGCTAGAAACCGGGTTTCGATACCCGTGGTGGCCAGAGCACAGACAGCCTATTGTGTAGCTTTGTGCTTAGCTTCAAAACAAAAATAATAATAGACAAGTATGTGAAATAATGTCTTCAGCAAAATAAAATTCACTTCAAAGAAATATGTGAAAGATGAAACCATATCTAATACATTTAGATATGAAATGTCATTCCCAATATTCTGGAAAAATAAGATTGTCTTCTAATGTTGGAAACTTATATTAACAATTTTATAACTCATAAAAATATAGATCTCTAATAGCAGATTCATGATTGAGCAAATAACTGAATTACTGAGCAAACAAACAATAAATTATAGTTTGCTTTTGCTCTAAATAGCAGATTAGTTACCAGAAATAGATATGTTTCATTTCGTTCAACGCAGACGTTTCAAGATATTCTCATCTGTTAAACTTATTATAATAACAATAAAATGTCTCACTTAAAGCGATGTTTATTGTAAACAGTGTGTAAAAACTTGTTGTTAACATTATTATAATAACAATAAAATGTCTCACTTAAAGCGATGTTTATTGTAAACAGTGTGTAAAAACTTGTTGTTAACATTATTATAATAACAATAAAATGTCTCACTTAAAGCGATGTTTATTGTAAACAGCGTGTAAAAACTTGTTGTTAACATTATTATAATAACAATAAAATGTCTCACTTAAAGCGATGTTTATTGTAAACAGCGTGTAAAAACTTGTTGTTAACATTATTATAATAACAATAAAATGTCTCACTTAAAGTGATGTTTATTGTAAACAGTGTGTAAAAACTTGTTGTTAACATTATTGTAATAGCAATAAAATGTCTCACTTGAAGCGATGGTTATTGTAAACAATGTGTAAAAACTTGTTGTTAACATTATTGTAATAATAATAAAATGTCTCACTTAAAGCGATGGTTATTGTAAACAATGTGCAAAAACTTGTTGTTAACATTATTGTAATAATAATAAAATGTCTCACTTAAAGCGATAGTTATTGTAAACAATGATAGTGAACTTGTAAACAGAGTGTGTGAACAGTTTTTGTATCTTGATTTAAAGACGAAAATGGTAAAGATTGAGTTAAAGAAAAATGCAGTTGGGTTTTGAACCAAGAGTAATTTCCGTTTTTCCTAACTGACGAAGCTTGATCATAATTAATTATATTTGTTATAAGACATTAGTATTATGCTTATTATGTTTTTAAATACTAACTTATTTATTTAGTCCTTTAGGGATTTTCATGACTTAGGAATATTTCACTAAAGCATAAAGAATAAATAGTGTTGGAAAGCTTGACAGTGCTCTTATCTTTACAATCGACACAAAGTAAGATCCAGAAAATAAAGTGTCAGAGAGGTTGAGAACGTGTTCTAATTTGAAATCTTTTTGAAGATAGAATTATAAAATATACAAACTAAGTACCTAGATCGTGTTGGATAGCTTAACACGTAGTTCTTAATACAGAAATTAAGTAAAGATTGTGTTTGGTAACTTTGAAAGGGGATTTATTTTACAGTCTACAAGACTGCAAGATTGAGAAGACTGAAGTGTAAATTATGTTGGTGAACTTGACGGAGTACTTTACAATCTTCAAAACTGTAAGATCCAGAAAACAATAGCCTAAATCCTTTTGATGAGCTTGGGAACCTCATGTTGTCTTTCACAATGAAATATGATAACATTATAATTGCAGCTTTGCCAGGGGTCATGTCTCTTTCACTTTGAGTATATTAATAAAATTGAACTTGTAGCTAACAACTACATCCCGCAAACTTCGCTCAAAATATTACAAAGATCTATTCGTGTGATAGAGCTGGAAATTCCGACACTCCAGTACAGAGTTGTGTTTTATTTTGTTTTTTCTAATGTAAGCTAGCTAATATCAAAGTAGTTTCAAAGGTTGTCCGTGACCTCCAAATGTTGATGAGTCACCTAGGAAAACCTCTTGCTGAAATGATGACGTTAGGCAGCACTATTAGGTTGTTCTTCAAACCAGTTAAAGATTGAAAAAAAAACAAAGTTGTTAAAAGTACATCATGACAAAAAATATAAAATGTATTTACTTTTACTTATAACACCCTGCTGTAATAATGAAGATATTAAACCCACAAATAAATAAGAAAATTCAAACGATGACCAACAGAGGATTGTTGTTTTGTGTTACATCAGGTTAAAACATATTAGGATAATCAACTGAGGTCTACTTTATTGAAATAAAAATGGTTAAGACATATTAAGACTTTTGAGCTAAGTAAGATTAAGATATATTAAGTTAACGGAGGACCACAGCTTTGCGCTACATAAAGTTAAAACATAGATAACAGAAGACTGCTGTTTAGAGCTCTATCATGTCGATTATACAGACTGTCACTGTGATAAAAGGTGTTATCGTGTCAGGTAGGCCGGAGCTGAGATATAAAGGGTACTATCGGGTTAAGATTTTAAGATGTAAAGGGTCTTAATAGAAATGAATAAAAACCTTATAACCCGAGCGCTTTAGAAAGGTGGACCTTTTTTCTTCAGGGGCAGACAGTTTACCCCTGAAGAAAAAAGGTCCACCTTTCGAAAGCGCTCGGGTTATGAAGTTTTTATTCATTTCTACCAAGATTTCTTGAACCTATGTGTATTTCCAGCATCATGTTATCGTGCTATACTGTCATACAAAGCTAATTTTCGTTTACCAACTTTCGGTTTCGTGATTGTAATATAATTAGTTTCTCCAGAGTGATTAATTTACAACGATTGGTCATTCAGAAAATGGGGCTAAAAATGTGATATTTGAAGTAAGTTTAAAAAGATGGCTTAATTAAATAAAAATAATATTTAAATATAACGCAGCAATAAAAACTAGTTCTGGTATCAGCTCGTACTATAAGACTTGTAACCTGTACTGTTCTCACCAGTATTGGCCTGTACTGTAAATACTGTAATTTATATTGTTTTCACCAGTATCGGCCTGTACTATAAATACTGTAACCTGTACTGTTCTCACCAGTATCGGCCTAGCTGTAATACTGTAACCTGTACTGTTCTCACCAGTATCGGCCTGTACTAGTAAATACTGTAACCTGTACTGTTCTCACCAGTATCGGCCTGTACTATAAATACTGTAACCTGTACTGTTCTCAATAGTATCGGCCTGTAGTGTAAATACTGTAACTTATAATGTTCTCACCAGTATCGGCCTGTACTATAAATACTGTAATCTGTACTCTAAATACTGTAACCTGTACTGTACTCACCAGTATCGGCCTGTACTATAAATACTGTAACCTGTGACTGAAGAATGAGAAACACTCTTGCATTTATTAATTCTTCAGAATATTTGTTGTCGACATTAGCTCTTGAAATTCTAGTTTTCAAATAACTCTTCAGCCAATTATGTATTTATATATATCATCTTACGCCTATTGTGCATATTTGTTTAACAATAACTTTTGATTTACATATTGAAATACGCTAGATAAATATAAGTAAAATATAATTCATTTTATTTCATAAACAAAGTTACATAAGAACTTTCAAAACAGATGTTCTCTTATATTTCAGTTAATTACATTTCTAATACCTGAACACACACTACCGTGCAATATTACTCTTATCTTTACTGTGCCAAATACTACATGCGATTTCTTATTTTTGTCTTTTTTCTTTTTACTCAGAGACACAACTACTCAGCAAATATTATTCTGTCACGGTTTTACAATTCGTTACCTAAATTATATATATTTCCTTCTAGTGCTGGTTTGGGTGTTTTTCAAGTTTTTATATGTTTTAAGTTGTTTTTGTTTTTGCAAGTCCACTTTTACTAAATCATGTAGACGTTGAAATGTTTTTGGAATCATCTTTTTAAGAGTTTAAAATTGGAACTGTGTTAGGAATTCATTTAAATTAACCTAACTACATATTATACAATTCAAATGAATTAATCTGAAAACATTTTCAACTATTCAAGTAAATTAATCTAACTAAATATTAAACAATCCCTATTTCTCATATTCATAAAGTTTTAATCACACTTTAGCTTCCACTTTTACACACTTAAACCTGTTGTGTATTGTTACCTTAAACTATTTCTCATATTCATAAAGTTTTAATCACACTTTAGCTTCCACTTTTACACACTTAAACCTGTTGTGTATTGTTACCTTAAACTATTTCTCATATTAATAAAGTTTTAATCACACTTTAGCTTCCACTTTTACACACTTAAACATGTTGTGTATTGTTACCTTAAACTATTTCTCATATTTTTTACTTCTCTAGTTATATCAGTTGAAGAGATATGTG